GCCAGCCTAAAGTGAGGGCAGACACAACAGTGCCTGCCAGACTTGAAGGAAAGAGTTGCTGTTGGGAATGCCTGCCCCTGCAGGTCCCCCCTTCCCTTTTCCAACCTGATGTGCTCAGGTATCTGCTCACTTATTGAAGGCAAAGCCCAACCACCTTCACGTGGCTTCTTCCATGAACTGCTTACTTCCCCCTGTACAGAACTCAGCTCTTCACATCCCAGTTCTCCCCAGGGAGCACAACCTGAAGAGCCACGATCTGCATCCCTGCTGCAAAGGGCCAAAGCCCTGAAATCCTCCAAAAGTACTCCAGCAGCAGCACTATCACCCCAACTTTGTGCTTCACTAACAGTGTACTCATATGAGAAGCTGTTAAGGCCAAGTACAATCAGCAGCCAAAACGTTTTAGTTCTCTTACTTGCACTGCTCATTTTTCTACTTTGCTGGATTTTTGCATGGTATAAATAGGAAAAGCTTAAAGAGTTGGGGGTGCAAGTGGGCAAGGCTTGTAGGGACAGTCTCTTTCAGCAAAGCAGTGGAGAACAGCTGGAAAACACAGGAGCTATCCAGTACAAACTTTTTCCAGCACTAGAAGGGTTCCCTATTTTCAATCTAATCCTTCCCCTGCTATGGGAAAGAGAGAGGACTGAAGAGTGAAAGGTGATGAGGTCACTAGCTCCTGTGAAAAACAGAATTACAGCATGGAGTGAGGCAAAGCAGAGCACTGGAAAAACCCATGACCCCAAGACAGTTACTCACCTGAAGAGCTGTGGGGAGCAACAAAGACTTCACAAAAGCCTCACCAGCTGTGGTAAACTGTGGACCAAGCCAAGTAAGCAGCATTCAGCTGAGCAAGAAACACTCCTGTTTCCCACTTCATCCCCTCCTACAGGTACCCAATCTTCACAGTACTGGCCAAAGCAGCACTCAGCTCTTCCACATTGTCCCCCCCCCGCCTTTAAAGAAATGAGGCTAAGGCAATTCTGGAAACTCACTTATCTCAACCTGTAATTGAGAAAGCTATTTAATAAAGTTACTTAACCCCCAAGCAGCTCCAAGCTGTGTTGCAGCTGGTGAATATGCATGTCCTGGGATTTCCATGTCGCAGCAGTGTGAGGACAGGATGTCAGGCAAATTAGTTATGAGAAATGTGGCCTATTCAAACATCTGCTCTGCTCTGACTTCACATTGCAGTTTTCATTCTTGAAGCCATTTTTGTTATTCTCTTATTTCCATAGGAAACATAGTAACAAAAGAACAGCTTGACAGAAATGCGTCCTGTTCCTATGCACAGGATGGGTTCCTGAGCACAGCTGTAATAAGAGTAGGGTCCTGGGCTAAAGGCAGACAAAAAAAAAAAAAAAAACAACAAAAACAACCCCCCAAAAACCCAACCCCAAAACCAACCAAACAAAAAACAACCCCCAAAAAAACAGAAGTGCTGCCAAGACCCTGTCAGGCCACACAACTGCAGTACATGCAAACACTCCCAAAGCAGGAGGCAGGTCCCAAGTTATTCACAAAGCAATCGCCTATGTGATTTCAGTACATGACCACCACTGAGGTTCAATATTAGATACTTGAAGTTATACCACCTAAGATTTTTGCAGCTTTACAAGAGCTTTGCAGGTTGTCGTGGTTTAACCCCACCCAGACAGCTTGTTCACCCACTCCCCCCCCTCTTCTTGCCCTCCCCCTACTCCTGGAGGGATGGAGAGGAGAATCAGAAAGAATGCAACTCCCACAGGTTGAGATAAGAACAGTTTAGTAACTAAGGTATAACACAAATCACTACTGCTGCCACCAATAATAGTAATGATAAAGGAAATAACAAGGGAAGAGAATACAACACCTCATCACCAGGCGACCGATAACTCGCCCCCCCAGCCTGACCAAGCACCGACTGATACCTCCTCTAACCCTGCAGTCCACCAGCCCTTCCGGGTCCCTCTCCCAGTTACATCCTGGGCATGATGTGCTGTGGTATGGAATACCTCTTTGGTCAGTTTTGGGTCAGGTGTCCTGTCTCTGTTTCCTCCCGGCTTCCCCTCCTCCCTGGCAGAGCATGAGGCTCACAAAGTCCTTGGACAAACCAAAACATCATTGTTTTTCAGCTCTGTTCCCAGCTGAAAGTCAAAACACAGCGCTGCACCAGCTACCAAGAAAGAGAAAAATGACCTTAAATCCATGACTCATATGCAGATAGACTCCACAACTCCCTAAAGTTGTAAAGTAGGTATGCCTTTATTCAGCTGAGGCGCATGGGGGATTACTTCCTCCAAAAGCATGCGCACCCCAGTGATGTTCTTCTCTATATTTATCCTCTAAAGTACTACATATGCATTAGGTTATACAATACGTCTATACATATTCATATCCTATCCCCGCTTCATATTATAATGAACTCAAAGGTCCTTTGCACATGCATGGTGCCCCCTCTGGTCATGGGCAGGGGTCTTAAGATGAAGTAAATGAGTCTTCCTCCTGTGGGTAGGGGTCTTCAAGATGAAGTAAATGAGTCTTCCTCGGGCCTGAACTTTTCACCTTTAGTCATCGCGCATGCTCCCTGGTTGTTTGGTCACCGTCCAAACCGAAAAGTTGTTCTCAGCTGGTTTAGGGGTCCAGAGGGCAGGAACCACCTTACGGTCCCTTCCTCTTATCAATAGCCTAACATCCTCCCATCCTGCTTTGGCAAGCACAATAAATATTAAGCAGGCAGTATATATTGTTTAGCAAACAACTGCAGCCCCTAATAAATCATTCCTTAACCCTAACTGTCTTGCATCGGTTAACCCCTCGCACCAACCTTTATATAAATTGGAATAGCTTCCTTATTGGGAGGTTATGTTCTGGTACTGCATGGTAAGGCACAATAGGTATTTGCTGAGCGATATATCTGTTGAGTAAGCCATGTAACTTAAGCAATACAGAATCCCAAGAACTTCTCCTGATGTTCACAATACCCCCTTGTACAACCCCCCTGTACAATAGTCCACATCATTACCACTGGATGTCACTATTGCTTTAAGCATGGACACCAAGGCAGACCTGCTTAAGCAGTAGGTTGGAAAAATCACCCCATAAACATCTAACACATGGGTACAGACTGGCAAGAGGTCAGAAATAAATTTACAGTGACCTGTTTTCACTACACAATTTTATTATGAAAGTTAAGCTTACAATACAAAGAAGCAAAAGCAATCCTGTAGCTTAAGGCAACTCTTACAGAAGATGAATTCAAGAAAGATGATGCAACTTCAGTTTAAATAAAAATTATGAAAAAATAAAATTACATCAATAAATTAAAATGCACTTTAAAAAGTCTGCACTAACTAGCAGAGTGTAAGAGCTTGTGAGCTTAATGCCAGCATTAAGATATCAAAAGCAGCACAACAGGTCCTTTCCAACCCTAACTATTCTATGATTCTATGATAATGGGGGAAGTTCATTATTTGCACAAACATAACATTAATATCTGATAGCATAATTTCCTGTGCACTCATGGTGTAAAACCACTGCCCCAAAAGTTAGGGAAGCCTTTTAAAATACACCTTCAGACTACTCCATAAAAAAAATACACAGATGGGAGAGGAGCTCCAAGGCTAGGGATGCATGCAGGGGCATGCAGGTGTCCCTTAACTTATTGCAGAAACTTTAGAAAAGTTCTTTCTTTGGGGGAAGAGCAGCAAGAAGACTATATTGTCAGAGAGTGAAAAAAGGTTCTTTTTCAAGTGAATCACATTTAAAGTGAAGTATCAAATTATTCCTACTTGATGACTTTATCACAGTTTACTGTTATTGACATTTTGATGTGAATGTTAAATATTCATATTAACATAGTCTCCTTCACATTAACATCTGCTTACATTCTTGCAAGACCTCTTTTGTATCAATTGTTTTGCAATTAGTGAAGAATGTAATTATCTACATCATAAAATTTAATAATGATTTAACTGTTCTATACCATACGAAGTTTAACTTTGAAATAATTTTTAAAATACTGAAGCCAGATCACCTACTTAAAAAAAAAATAAAAAAAAATTCAGTGACAGTTTAATTCATCAGGCTGTACAGGAAGCAAAACATTTTAACAAAGCCAAAAGACATCACACTTCCAATCTATTTTCTTCAAATATTGGATGCAATGAAAAATTTGGAACATGTCCATTCACCATCACCCCAAATAAAACAAGATAATTCACACAAATTCATTCTAAATCTTAACCTGTTAGAAAATGCAATATATACTGCAATGTAGTCTTAATTTGCATAAGACTGTCTTATGCATAGTATGAGATTCTCTGCACACAGCCTCATCTCATCTTTTTCCCATTCAGCACTTTACAAAAAGCTTAAGTTATAAATTATACTTAAAGTAGCTGTCTTAAACATGACTTAATACATATCACCTTTTGTTCCCAGTTGAATCAGATGGTAGAGTTGCAGTATCCCTTTGAAGAACTAGTTTAAAAAAAAAAAACAACTGAATAAAACAGAAGCCAGCCTGCAACTTCCTGAGTTTCAGTAAAGTACTACATACAGGGGTATAACCACCACCTAAACTTCCTTCGTAATAAAAATATGAGACAGATACTGGGGCAGAATGCATTATTAATGCATTAAAATTACATTTTAAGATTTTATCCTTTAAAAAGTGGAACCAATGGATTGTTAGCAGTTAAAAGAATACTACAAATAATATTTAAAACTCCACAAAGTTTGAAAAGGGATTCCAACAGCTCTGATTCACTGGGTTTAGCTTGGAAATAATGCAAAATAATGTCAGCAGTTTTAAAGCCTTGCAAATTTAGAAAAAGTAGTAAAAGGAAGTTAAGAATGTATATCTAAAAGCAGGAGCACAATAAGTACAAAATTCCAAAAGCAGATTAAGAAAAAAAAATAAAATAAAAAAACCCACAAAAGACCCCACCCAAAGAAAAAAAACCCCAAAACAAAAAACACCAAAGAAACCCCACAACCACCCCCCAAAAAAAACCCACCAAGCCAAAACACACAACCAACCAAAAACCAAAACAGAAAAAAGCTTTAAACTTGTAATATCTTGACCTATTTAAGTGATAATTATTAGGTTTGAGAAAAATGGTTTTATAGCTGTATAAGTTTCTATTTCACTAAAATAGTACCAACAAAAGTAAGTCTGTATAGGAAAAAAAACAATTACCACTGGCTACATACTTAAAATGGGAAATGCAGGTATTGTAACACATAATGCAAAGTATGGCAGTTCATGGTGATTCCGACTGCTGCAGGTCAGGAAGAAGACCATACTATACCCAGTTATCACAGTTTCTGGTCTTTTATTAAATCCTTTGTCAAGTAGAAGCAATGCATGGGTGCAGACTCATGGTACACCTGCCACTGTTGATTAATGTAGCTTGAGATCATTGCCACTTCCTCGGTTAGATCCAGGATTAAGGTCTTGTTGTCTTCTTGCCTGCATTAAGACAGACATATTTAGGATCAAAAAGAAAGAATTTAGAAGCTATCAGTTAATTTCTTTAGCATACTAACATGACCAAGACCATAAACAATTCTAAGGCAGAAACTTTACATTTCAAGCAGTAACCAATCTGGTCTGGGAGCAGGCAAGGCTGGTGCTCTGGGGAGTGAGTGTGCACACACACATGCACACTCATACTACCTCAAAGGCTCTTCTGTAACCAGACTGAAACGCTTCTACACATCACTTCAGCCATCAGCAAGAGACTTCCAGAATGGTTAGGCAATAATTTTGTGTCTTTTCTTCCAGAACACATTTTCTTTCCTGTAAATTTCCCTGTTAACCTTTTTTGTAAACATTTTCAGGATCAAGAGTTGTAGGGATAAAGGCTAGATGACAAAGTATGTTACAACACTGTCCAATAGATCTCCCCTCAGCATTTTTGTGTTAGAAACATTTACTTTAGGATTGTCTGGAATAAACATGATATACATAACCCACCAGCATCACATAAACTGTAGAATGACACACATTTTAACACTTGTGGTTTTACCATAGCATACTGGTGCACCTGTAAAGTTAGCAATAATACAAAACTGAGGAACTCTAGTACTTATTACAGCCCTGTGTTAAAAAAAAAAAGTAATGTAAGTTCTCCTTTAAATAAGTAATTCTGTTAAACAGTTTGAGTTGACATTTTAAAGAGGAAGTTATGGATGGTCATTCATAATAATATCAGTCATCAGACATCACTATCTACTTTCCCTACCTGTACACATGCAGGCTGCTCTCAAGTAGCACACACAAATGCTGCAGGTAAATACTTTAAAACACTGATATACTGGAATTTTAAAGCAATACTTCAATTCTGGGAACATCTAATATATGCTAACTGGTTTTTAAGACATTTCAGTGCTGATACTTTTATTACACAAACATTATTCCATGTAGCTCCATTAGTTTCACCAGCTGCAAAACAAACAAACAAAACAAAACAAAAACAAAACAAAAAAACCACAAAAACCCAACAAACCAAAACCAAAACCTCTCTGGAAAAATGCAAATTAAGTGACCACCTCCCTACTTTGAAAGGTTTGTCATTTTGTTGAAAGAGGCAGGAACAGACTTAACCCTCTGGCACATACTGCCACCAACACCTTCTCCAATTTAGATCTTTCTTTGTTCACTTCTTCCTTATCTACCATTTGCATCTGCCTCATTGTACACTCCCAGCACAACTGGTCAGCTTAACCCAAACAGAGAACTGTTACTTCCTTCTCTCATTTAAATACCGATTTAAAGTGACATTTTCCTTTCATGCGCAAAGATCCCATTCTAATGTACACAGAAATTATTCAATAAATCCCTCTAGTAATCTGCATGTTCCCAGAGAAGAAAATTCCCTGCCTTTCTTTAGTGGTTGTATTGCCATTCTTGTTTTGAAAGCACCCTTGCTATTTTAAATATCACAATTGCTACCTACTACATTTATGCATCCAGTACTGCTGTTGCATTTTAAGTATATAGGGGCAAGAAAATCTTGCTCTGTTCTATCTACAACAGTCATACTCCAACAAAAAGAAACAATCTGCTTTTCCTACATGCAGAAGAAACCTGAACAGGACCACAATGAACGGGACAACTGACATTACTACTGCTGGTTGTCATACTTTAAACACATCTGGTAACTCAAAAACACACAGCCACTCATTCACTCTCCCCGGCCATGAAAGGATGGGAAGGAGAAACAAAAGAATGTAAAAGGCATGGGCTGAGATAAAAATAGTCCAGTAACTAAGGTATAAAATAAAACTACAACTGCTACCACCAATGATAATAATAATGAGAAGGGAAATAACAAGGGGAGAGAATATAAAAGGGGAAAAGGAAAACAATAAAACACAAGTGATGCACAATACAATTGCTTACCACCCAACCACTGACACTCAGCCTGACCTGAACAGCTATCAGGGCCTTCTGGGTAACTCCCCCCAGTTTCTATATTGGGCATGACGTGCTGTGTTATGGAACACCCCTTTGGCTAGTTTAGGTCAGGCATCCTGTCCCAGCTTCCCATGCCCCTCCTCACTGACAGAGCATGAGACTGAAAAAATCCTTGAAGGGAGTAAACATTACTTAGCAACAACTAAAAACATTAGTGTGTTATCAGCATTGTTCTCAGACTAAAGCTGAAAACAGCACTGCATCAGCTACAAGGAAGGAGAAAAATAGCTGTTACAGCTGAACCCAGGAAAGTATCCACCCCTTATTCCATACCATCTACATAATGCTCAAATCACCTATTTTTCAATATACCATTCCTTTTAGTCTCATATACACACATGCACACACAAAGAGAGCACTACCAATCCCTATAAAGTTGCTGAATTCATTCAGTCCATGTAGTCAGGCTCCATCACTTGTAACAGACTTTCAGGGCAGGAGAGACAGTGTGTAGTGTTGGATTACTGCCTGCTAACAACACCACTGAAGACATCTGGTCACTGCTGATCTCGTCTGGTTTCAAAGTTGATTCTTTCTTAGAGTGATGATCAAAAGGAATTCAGGGTCAGTCGATGGTGACCTGAGGACAGTTCTGCTGCTGTTGGCTTTTCCCATGACTGCCACAGAAAACATATGGACCCAGTCAGAGATCAATATGATCAGACAAAAGCTGTTTATTACAAAGCCTTAAGTCCTTATACACTATTTCTTACATGCACTTACAGTGATTTGGCATATTATGATTGCATACATGCCTTGAAGACCCTTAGCAACTAACATATAATTGGTTAAGCACAGGTGTGAGAACTGAACCTCAAAAGCTTACCAACAGTCCACAGTTTTCATAACTCAGTGAATTCCAGCTGCTTCTTATCTTGCTTGCTTAAGCTTCCTCGGGCCTCTCATGGCCTTGCTGTATCTTTCAGGATTATTCAGAGTTTATATACCAATTATCCATTCTCCTGTGAGAACACTGCCTCCACACCATGACTTCATGCTCTGCTGGTGATCATGACAGCACAAACCTTGTTTTAAAAGGCCAAAGCGGTCAAAATGGGCATCTAGCTGATGGGCTATACAAGTGTTATATAGCAAGCAACAGCATATAATTAAGTTCATTAAGCGTTTTACCCCAAAACTAAATCCCCTTGAAGTACACATCAGACTTCCCATCTTCCTGCATTACCTGCCAAGTATATTCAGGTCCCTGAGCAAAAGCAATCCCACGAGTGGGTTTGCCTTTACCTGACGCAGGAATAATCCAGACTGTTTTCCCCAGCAAATTCTTTCTGTACACTACAGGAACTTTATCCCCCTCTACAGTACGCAAAAGTTCTGACTGGACTGGGCCAGACCTGCTGGCAGATTCCCTACTGTTGTCCAACCAGGTCGCTTTTGCTGTGTACCCCAGTGTTTGAAAGTCCACCACCTAGTCCATTCAGTGTAGTTTTACCAGCCCATTGTACTGTTGGATTTTCCCAGAGTCTGGCGCATGGTAGGGAATATGATACACCCACTCAAGGCCGTGCTCTTTGGCCCAAGTGTCTATAAGGCTGTTCTGGAAATGAGTCCCACTTTCTGACTCAATTCTCTCTGGGGTGCAGTTTCAACACAAAATCTGTTTCTCAAGGCCCAGGATAGTGTTCTGGGCAGTGGCATGAGGCACAGCATATGTTTCCAGCCACCTGGTGGTTGCTTCCACCATGGTAAGCACATGGCACCTGCCTTGACAGGTTGGTGGGAGTGTGATATATTCAAGGTGCCAGGCCTCCCCATGTTTGTATTTCAGCCATCATCCTCCATACCAAAGAGACTTTAACCACTTGGTTTGCTTAACTGCAGCACGTCTCACAGTCGTGAATAACCTGGACAACAGTGTCCATTAAGTCCACCCCTCGATCACAAGCCCATCTATATGTTGCATCTCTGCCTTGATGGCCTGAGGTGTCATGGGCACACCAGACTAAAGAAAATTCACCCTTAGGTTGCCAATCTAACATCATCTGAGCCACTTCAATCTTAGCAGCTTGATCCACCTTGTTGGTTATTCCAGAATTCCTCAGTGACCTGACTGCTCAGTACATCAGCATCTACATGGTGTACCTTCATCACCAGGTTCTGTACCTGGGCAGCAATATCTTTCTACAGTGCAATAGCCCAGATGGGTTTACCTCTGCATTACCAGTTGCTCTGCTTCCATTGCTGCAACCACCCCCACAGGGCATTTGCCACCATCCATGAGTCAGTATAGACATAAAGTACTGGCCACTTTTCTCGTTCAGCAATGTCCAAGGCCAGCTAGACGGCTTTCACCTTGGCAAACTGACTCAATTCACCCTCTCCTTCAGCAGTTTCTGCATCTTGTCCTATGGGACTCCAAACACCTGCTTTCCATCTCCGATGCTTTCCCACAATACGGCACGACCCATCAGTAAACAAGACATAATGCTTGTCACTTTCTGACAGTTTATTATATGGTGGGGCCTCTCACCTTCCAAAATCTTTCCCTCTGGCCAGTCCATGATGACTTCTAGAACTCTTGGACGACTGGGATTTCCTATTCAAGCCTGTTGTGCAATTAGTGCAGCCCACTTACTCCATGTAGCATCAGTTGTATGATGTGTAGAGGACATACTGCCTTTGAACATCCAGCCCAGCATGGGCAACCTGGGTGCCAGGAGGAGCTGTGCTTCAGTGCCAATCACTTCTGAAGCAGCGTGAACTCCTTCATAGGCTGCCAGTATCTTCTTTTCAGTTGGGGTATAGCTGGCCTCAGATCCTTTGTATCCCCGACTCCAAAAACCAAGGGGTCGACCTCGAGTCTCCCCTGGAGCTTTCTGCCAGAGGCTCCAGGTAGGACCATTCTCCCTGGCTGCGGTGTAGAGTACATTTTTTATATCTGGCCCAGTCCGGACTGGTCCAAGGGCTACTGCATGAACTCTCTCTTGTTCAGTTTGTTCAAAGGCTTCTTGTTGCTCAGGGACCCACAT